TAAAGAATATCTCTTTAGGGTTTGAGACTTTGATCTTTGTAACCCTGCAGATCTTATACATGCACAAACAGCTACATAACACTAGCCTGGCTAACGCCAGACCCAATTCTCGTTGAGACTTGGGTCTGGGAACCATATGCACATTTTCTCGTATTTGAGGCGTGGTTTACGGCGTGCTAAGAATGTCTATCAAATGCGCCTGTACGTAGCTCATAGCCAATCATTTCAATTATACCAGATGACGTATGTAGAGCGACAGAAATTAGACAAGGAAGAAGACGATGGGTAAGATATTTTTGTGTAAACAATAACGTTCAGCGACTATTGCCGAATAAAAACAAAATATAAACTATTGCCGAATATAAACAAACTGCTTGTGTGTGTTGCATAGATGTCGTCATCGTCTTGCTGCTCCCTCCCCGTTCTGTGATTGGTTCCCTAAATGAGGCGAATATCTGGACCATGGTATCCATGCTGGGGAAACCCAGACTAACATAACACACTAAAGAGAAAGAAAAACAAGAAATCGCATCAAATGACCCCTTTAAAAGGCAGATACGTCAGAACCATGGCTCAGGGTGGGCGGCCATCTGCCTTGAACGGTTGCGGTGAAGGGACAGAGAGAGATGCAATGCCCCAAAACTATACAAAGACTTACATGTAGGCCAGTATTATTCTTTAGTTAACTTATTTTCCCCACTTTGCATAGAGCCAAATGGTCTGCTAAAACACAAGTGGAGAAAGACACTGGTAATGGTAATGTCACTTACTTATTTCAAATGAAATCTCCTCTGCAGCTTTCAAAATTTCGACCAATTGGTTCCTTCCATAAAAGGAAGGCTTCCTGAGGGTAAGACTTGTGGGCAGTCCAGCTACATTAATGGTCATGCCCTGATTTACCAGGGACTGGTAGGGAAGCCTCCCAGTACCTCCGGCCTCCTCTGAAATACACGGGCACAAACATGCATGCACACGTTACACAATGTTACACAGTTGGACAATTGTGACTCTCCCCTCTAGTTGATAGCCAGTGTACAGGCTGCAAACAGACATTTTGGTAAGGTGTCAACCTAATGGTTGATGGGCACATTAAATAATTTATTCATTTGATAATAATGCCATGGATTCATGAAGGGATTAAAAGTATTTGAACTTATGCTTACTATATTTTTGGTTGAATAGATCTTGCACTTTTCCTACCAGAACACTGACATGTTCTCTGGTACTGGGTGTTGCGGGTGAGGAGCTGGCTACAGATGTAACAACAGACAACAATAATTTCATAAAACTGTATTATGTATATTTGCACTATTACAGGCCTGAGTCCATTTCTGTGGATTTTTATATAACCAATACCTTTGAAATGCAGTGCGAAGTTGTTCACTGTCTCCGTTGTATCAAGGAAATCAGTGGCTCCTTTGCTGCTCAGTTCAAACACCTCTAATGAGGACTTTTGGCGGTCAAATGATAGAATGGCTGTTTCCACACCCAAATCCTCAAGCTTGGACACCTTTACAATAGAAGACGACAACCACAAAAATAGTAAATAGTTGATTAAACACAAAACCTACTTTTAAAAATTCAACACACACTGAAGAAAAAACTCATAACAGGGCTTGGAAATATATGAAAACAGTGTTGTCACATGTGGCAAATAAGTGGTCAAGGACCACCCAGGGTACATTAACTATAAATTAGTTGTTTACATAGAGTCCAAATTCAATAATTTTGACTCATAGCCATTTGTGACTACTAATGCTTCAATTGACCACCTTGATGTGAATAGACTAGCCCAACCAGTAGGAATGTAGTTTGAGAGGTGTTCTTCAAAGTGAGAATATTTGATGTTGATAGCCATGTAAACAACAATCAGCTGGAATATTTATTTGGGATGAATTCATTTGAAATTATGAAAAAAATCTACAAATCAACAATCCAGTTGTCTTTCACAATGTTCTGCTCGCATCACAATTGCTGTCGATCATCCTTCCATCTAATACTAAAATAATACCACAAATGCCTAGCAAATGAAGCCATTTTCCAAACCTCTAACTTCAGCTTCTTAAGGTGCATTTTAATTCGGGCATCCCTCATCTCTGGGCTAAGGTCCTGTGTCTGCCCATGTGCCCTCAGTGCTGCTGCCTCTTGAAAGTATTTATTCTTTTCATCTTCCCCCAATGTGGCCCACCTGCCCTTAATGTCATTCATTGTGCCTGAGGAAAAAATAGATGCACAGAAAACTTAACACTTTAGATTCAGCATCTCTTTTTTAAAGTAAATTCATACAACGACAATCTGTCCAACACACTGGTTTACTTGGGTTGTGAAACCCATTTCTCTGTAACAACTCTGTAAAAACAAGATAACATGTAAAGTAGATGACCTGATGATTCTTTTCAATACACACAGCAGTCTTACGTTGATGAATGCAACTTGCGTGAGTGAAGTACTTGCCAAATACTATCTTGAAAATCTGTTTCATGACCTTTGTAAACCCCTGATGTCAACAGGGCCACTATGTACAAAAACAAACCATTTAGTATAACAATTAAAAGAAGCCGTTCAATTTTGTCTCTCACCTTTGTTTTTGAATATGTCCCTACAAAAAAGATTGTAAGGCGACAGCTCTCTGACGTGAACTTTTGCCTTTGATTGACGGGGTTCAGACAAAGGTTTTGAAATTTGTGATCTTTTGTAATTACCGATCCAGTTCTGAAAAACAAAAACAAAAATAACGATAGAGTATTACACCAATTAAACAGTATTTTAACAAAATACTTCATTTTTACAAGCAGTGCAGCAGAATGATATATTTATTTGACATGTTGTTTGTTAGTGTGGCACTAAAGTAAAACTTACTTCTATGACAGTGGTGTCCAAACCAGTAGCAGATGCAGCACTTGGAATTAATTTTGACCCAACTCGTGTCATTCCATTCGTAAAAAAGGATTTCAGGGTTTCCTTTTGATTCCCATTAATGGGAGTTCTCTCTTGTTGAATAACAACAAAGAAAGAAAAATCTAGTCAGTTATAAATCAGTAATAAAAAAAGACAGTGTTGCAGATCATACCATCGTTCTCAGACACACTTGCCTAATGCTTCTAGATTAGCAACTGCAAGGCTTACCTCTCTGGGCCATCTTCAACCTAAAACATAAACAGAAAAACTTGCACAAGACAGATTTGTGAACGGGCCCTTCTCTCTAAAAAGGCCAAAACCAAATTTTAGATTGTTCAACAAAGAGATAGAGCATGGAAGTAATAAAACAAACTTAGCCTACCACAGAAGTCCTTCAATCCACTGGAAATTGATGCTGTGGGAGACAAAAAAGTTAGGTAAAGATATATTAATGTTACACACACAGGCAGGCAGACAGATAGATAAATAGACTTTTTTTTCAAGTTCAATGTCAAGGACAGCAATAAATGTGACACACACAGACACCACAGTCTATATTTACTTCTAATAGATTCCTAATATTCGTCTTTTGCATGAATGTCATTGTAAGCTACCTCCTGTGGGATCAAATCCATCCAAGCTTTTTTCAAACCCACAAAACTTTATTTTACATTCTAGTCAAGATCCCAAGGTACCCAAACAGCCATAAAATACGTCATGGGTTTAATATTTCACTCATAAGTCAATAGGAGTAAGGTTAGGCCTATGATGGGCGTTAACGAGCATACAATATTATGCAATAAGCCTTACAGTGTGGAAAAAGTAATTTTTACAGGCTAACTTTGCGTTTAACTAGAAACTAAATTTCCCCATTAGCTTCATACGTAAAAACATACTTATTAGCAACGTTAATGCTCAAATAAAGCAAGTAAGTAACGTAATGTTGGGCTAATAACGTAACGTAATAGGGCCTAACGTTAGCCTATATAACGTTAGCCAAAATAATCGCAATACGCTTATCTCATGTCAACACTCATGTCACGCAACATTAAAACACATTTTATGTATTGTTTTCCCTTATTGACTAATTAATTTCGGTTTAAATGCTCGGTTTTATCATTTAAATGTTCTTACCTGAAAATATCAAGCGCGAAATATTGCGACGTCGCTGCGTCATTCAGTAGACCTCCGATTACCGGCGAGCTGGATTCCTCTGGTATTGGATCTGGAGTCTTCTCTTGTATTTGTCGGTGATTAACCATGTGGATGGATGATAACAGCCTTCTGAGCCTACCAGTAGGCGCAGCAGGCCCCTGCTGGCCCTTATATATGAGCTGATAACCACTGATAACGCCCATTCAATCGAGTGATAACATTCGAAGTTCCCCTGTAACAGCCTCCAGAAACCTGACCTACAGTAAACACTAGTCAGCAGCACATCACAAGTCATAAGATACAGCTGCAAATATGGTTACAGTATAATAAACTATACATGTGGTAAACCTTTATATTATGATCATCATTTCAGCAGACACAGCCATATACTCTAAACAGTATTTAGTTTAATACATAATTTGACCAATACGTTGATTACTGTAGTCCTCAAAATTGAATTTGATAGATTAAGTATGTGTATTTGTTCACTCATAATTAAATTGTATGATTTAATGCTTTGCAGTAATTTCTACAATGTTTGATTTTACTGTTCTCTAATCAGCAAATCATTGAAGGGTATTTTTCTCTCTCCTTGTTTTCAGTTAAAAGGAAGAACATAACTGTCTAATTTGAATGTTTAAAAACAAACTGTAATGTCCTTTTTGTGCTTTATAATCATACTGAGTAATCGAATACACATGTGAGCGCAGCCTGGATGAATCTACAACACTGAATTTGGAAATGATTGTTAGGACTCCATCTGTATCACTATAAGGCTAATGGCCAAGAGCTTCTTTGGTGCTGGATTGGGTGACGATGAGGGGCCCGGTTTGGAAAATGTTGTCCCCCTATCCAAAATTCCTAACGGCAGGCCTGTATGCTCTCAGTATACTACTGACTCTGTATTATATCTGCAACTTTTTTCGCAATAAACACCAACAAGTGGACTAACCAAGGCGCTGCGAATCGCGAGCTTCGGTGGGGCAGCGGCTTTCGGCAGAGCGGCGGACCTGCTTGAGCGGGGTGTCGACCAACAGAACCTCGGCCCACCTGTCTGCCCTGTTTTCCACCTGGATGGACGTGATCTGTCTGGTGAGTGTGAACAATCATACTTTCCCAATCAACCTAAGCTGCTAGAGCAAATGAAAACAACATGAACTTTGGTTTGTAGATTGTAAATCATGTAAAGGTGATATATGGGACTCTGTGTAAACCTAAGGGTATCCTGGGTGGACACTTGAACATCTGGAGTATAATATCAAAAGGAGATCAGATCTACTGACGGACTCTAACCTAGACTTCCTAACTCTGAGCGAAACCTGGCTTAATCCTAACATCGCAACCAGTATGATTGATGTTCCTGGCTATGTTTGTTATAGAAAGGACAGATCATCTGGCAGGGGAGGGGGAGTATTGTTTTATGACATATTCTTAAATGTAAGGAAATCAAACTGGACACATCTTTGGAATGTCTAGCCTTAAATATAGCGCTGTCCCCCCAGATGAATTTTAATATTGTAATCCTGTACAATCCTCCATCACATGATGTTTCATTTTATCGTGATTTGGATGAATTGTTTAAACTATTAAATTGTCATTCTGAATGTCTCTTTTTTTGGAGATTTTATATAAATTGGTTAGATAAACATGGCAAACAAAAGCTGAAAATGATAATGTCAAAACATAATTTTCAGCAGATGTTAAAAGGTCCAACTAGAATCACTCGAATGAGTAAAACCATGATTGATTTGATAATGACAAATAGACCTGAAAGAATTACAAGGACGTACAACTTAATAACGGGCCTGTCTGACCTTAATATGACATTTATTGTCAGAAAACTAACAAAGCAGCGTTTACCAGAAAAAAATCGAAAGCAACAATTTGACAACGAATTAAATAATATTGATTGGAGTGATGTTTTATAAACTACGGACGTAGATAATAGTTATGTAGTATTAGTATTAGTATTAGTATTATTAAAGTGTTAGTATTATTATGAGGAAATTATTAAGAAATATACACAAATTGTTAAGTTCACACGAAGAAGAGGATCTTTACCCTGGCTGAATAATGATATTCGCTAGTTAATGAAAAAAAAGAGATCTTGCATTGGAAAATTCACTGTCCACTAAATCAATTACGGACCTCCTAATTTTTTAGGGATTAAGAAATTGACTTGTTAGGGCAAAAACTACATACTTTACACAACTGATAACAGAATCTGAAGGAAATAGTACTACTCTTTGGAAACATCTTAACAGTCTTACTAAAATAAAGCCCAGCCAACAAAAATTAATAATGGAGCTGGAAGTAAATGGAGTGATTATGACTGACAGTACAGAAATCGCAAATGAATTTAATAATTATTTCATTCAATCAGTGGAGGAGCTTGCTCAAAATTTTGAAGCAGTAAAACTATCACAAGCAAATATAACATATTAATAAAATATGACTCTTTGCAGTCCTTTCATATTAAGGAAGTTGACCAAGAGAAAGTTGCTAAAATCATTAAATTAAATAATTCAAAGGCAAAGGATTGGTTTGGGTTGGATATTGCTGCTCTGATTAAACCAATAACACATCTGATAAACCTTTCCATTAGAGTTGGTAAATTTCCACAAACCTGGAAAACAGCGGTCATAACGCCAATTTTTAAGGCTGGTACACCAGACCAAGTAAGCAATTATAGACCAATCTCTACCCTACCAGTTCTCTCAAAGATTGGAAAAAAGCTGTTGCAGAATAACTGGTTGACAACTTTGAAAATAATTTACTTATTTATCCTAAACAATTTGGATTTAGACCGGGGTATTCAACTGAAATGGCCAACTGCTACCTCACTGAAAACATCAAGTCCTCATTAGATAAGGGTAATGTAGAACAGATCTTAAACAGGCCTTTGATACTGTGAACAATAGAGTGATTTTGAACAAACTAAGTACTTTTAACTTTTCTGAGCAAGCAACTGGCTGGTTTGCATCCTATCTCAAATCAAGAGAGCAGTGTGTAAAACTCAATGCAGAATATTCAACCCCCCGAGAATCTACAATGGGAATTCCACAAGGCTTGATTTTGGGGCCTCTGCTCTTCAGCCTATACATAAACAACTTACCCTCTTGTTGTAAAAAAGCTGGATGTCAGATGTATGCTGATGACACAGTTGTCTATGTATCAGCCAACAAGCGAAATGGAGGGAGTATCTCTATGGCAGGGGTATTCAATTAGAATTCACAGAGGTGGACGTTAGAGAAAATTTCCCAAAGCAAAGGTCTTCATAACGGCTAACTTTCGTTATCATTCAGTACCATAACGTATAGTTGTATCAACATGTGTTTTTAGTCAACAAATAATATTTCAGTCTTTTTTCACATCAAACTGGAGGGATAATAAATAATAACTACTCTAATAATAAATTCAAAATTTAAGTAAACTAAAATAAAGTGCCTAATTTTTTCAAAAAATGAAAAGAATGATGAAGTGTAGTCTTAACCAATTTTATAATAAACACTCAACAAATCATAACAAATGAACAGCTGTAATGCCTCCTCTTCTCTTTCATTCCCTCTTACAGAGCTATCACTTTCCTACTTTCTCTTGTTCAGTGAGAAACGTGAGCTGTAGTTTGTCCTGCCAGCTAGCATTGGAGATCTATGAGAGATTCTGGTGTTGAACTGCCCGTGGGAGGAATGTACATTCTTGATTAAAATCCATGTGAAATCTCTTTTCCCTTTCGTCTCCTCAATTTGACTCGACAGATTCGATTGGCTGAGCAGCGTCACATGAGACAATTGGAGCACATGCGATTGGTCTGTGAGTTTCCTGGGCCGCTAAACCAGTACAGTAAATGCTAGAAAAGCGTCTTAAAATAGATACGCTCCGTTCTGTGCAGTAAGGTAGTAAGTCTCAATAATAAATCGGCTGTAGGTCGCGGTCTGGAGAGGAGAGCGGCTGGGTCCGGATCTGGACCGCGGTCCGCCTATTAGTGACCTCTGCTCTATGGCTTAAAAACATCACTTAACTAAAGCTTATAATTAGAATAAATCACGAGGAAATAGAGGAAGTCAATGATTTTAAATTTCTAGGTGTCATTTAGGACCCCGACCTTAAATTTGATAAAGATGTTAAAAAACAATGCAAAACAAAAGACTAATTTGAACTGTTTTAGAATGATTACACAATATATACCCCTCAAGGCAGCAGTTTATGCATGCCATGCTATTCTCCTATCTTTCTTATTGTGTTACTGTATGGAGCCAGGCTTCACAGTCAACTCTTAAACCCATTATATCACTATATGAACAAGCACTGAAAATAATGGAAAAAAACAAATGAAATGGCATCATTGTATAATACTGAAAAAGTATAATTTGCTTAGTTTTGATTATTTCATTAAGTTTTGTTTTACCAAATTGACTTTTAAATCTGTGAATAATCTTGCTCCAGCTGTACTTTGTCCATATGTGACAAAAACAAACGAACATTAAAGCCTTAAACTGAAAAGATATTTGCCTGATTTTCTAAATGTTTGCATCTGCCCAGCTCTGTGACTGTGACAAGCGCCCGACACCAGAGCCGGTCTGCGTAACTGCACACAGCATCATTACTGCTGCCTTCAGCTAGAAGTCATGGCAGCACAAAGAAAAGTCTGTAATATTGAGGCACTTTGCTGCTCCGGCCTCCAGCAACTTTTTTTCTTCTTCCTCAACATTTCTACAGGCTACATTCTGTCCGCGACTGATGTGGACTGTGAGTGATTGACTGGTCTCTTAGTAAACCGCCTCTTTTTATGCTCCGAAATCGCCTGAGCCAGGAAAGCAATGCAAATAAAACTTTACATTAGGAAAGAGGGGGGGACCAAACATAGATTTTAAAATGAATGTATAATGGCTCCTACATGTATCGCAAATCCACACACGTTAATTTCAGCTCCTCTGATAAAGTGCAGCTCATGGACGCTTCAGGTGGAGCAGAGAGGACAGACACTGAGTTACAGCTCGATCATCTTATTCTCTGCTAATGTGCAGGAGAATAAATACCATTAATCCCTCTCTCTCGCGTGTAACGTTAGTTGAGTGAGTGAAGTTAAATTTTTGTTTTTTAAAAATCCTTCTGAGATCTGGGGCTTTTCAAAAGCACCCCTCCATCACTCCCTGCTGGTCCCCCCGCCCCCATCCTGAAAACCTCCAGGTCTTGAGTAAAACACCTTCATACAGTCTCTGGTAAACACTAACACTCCCCCGGTGCTCCGGGCTCCCAGTACGGGCAGAGCTAACAGGACCAGTGGTTAGACAGCTAACTGAGTTAGCAGCTAGTTAGCTGTTAACTAACTCCAGCAACAAGTAAAGTTATCTGTCCATCAGGAAACTCTGGGAATCACAGAGTTGAGGCAGACATCAGAGAGAAAACTAGAATATATTTTAGTCATATTTCTGATATTTCTCCATTAAATATGATCCAGTTTCACCAAAGTCAGTGAATAAAGTTGTTTCTGTGCAGTAATCAGTGGGGCCTAGCCCCAGAGAATGAGTCATCGACATTTAAAAAGGACAAACTCTTAAATATCACCAACAACACCTACAAAAACACATTTTTGTCATTGATGGGTCAGAAACTACCACAGTGGTGACATAGTGCAAAGCAAATCATATAAAGACATTTAAACATGAACTTTGGGAATGGATGATTTTGTTATTGTATGTTTCTCTAAAAATCCACTGAGTAGACAACACATCACTGATACTCTCTCGTCTTCATTTACCTATTTGGCATTGTAATGATGACTGTGAATTGTTTTTATCTTATTTTACCAATAAGGTGGTGTCAATCAGAGCCTCTATTACCCCCACTTCCTCTTACTCAGAGTTTCCTCACCAGCAACAAGAGAGTTTTAACCAGTTTTATCCCATCGACTTGTCTGAGCTTTTAAAAACAGTATCACAAATGAGAGTGTCCTCCAGCCCACTTGATGTAATACCTACAAAATTTTTACTGAAAGTAATAGATTCTGTTGGGCCCCATTTGATCTCTGTTTTCAACAGCTCCCTATCTACTGGTTGTGTCCCTGATTATTTTAAAACGGCTTGTCTGAACCCACTTTTAAAGAAACCTGGTTTAGATCCCTCCCTCCCACATAATTTTAGATTTTAGAAATTATTTGAAAAGTTTCAGTCTGGTTTTAGGAAGTACCACAGCACTGAGACTGCCTTGCTTAAAGTCACCAATGACCTTTTAATGTCTGCTGATGAAGGCATGTGCTCAGTCCTGGTACTCCTGGACCTTAGCGCTGCTTTTGACACCATTGATCACAACATCATGTTAGACAGACTGAGGCACTGGGTGGGGATCTCTGGTACTGCCCTAGAATGGTTTTCATCCTACCTGTCAAATAGGAAGTTTTGTGTGTCTGTAAACAACTATGTCTCCTCATTCTGTCCAGTTAAATATGGTGTGCCTCAGGGGTCGGTCTTAGGACCCATTTTGTTTTCCTTGTATCTGCTTCCCCTTGGACATATTATCCATAAACATGGCATTTCTTTTCATATTTATGCTGATGACACACAAATATACTTGCCCGTCAGATCCACAGACCCTGGAATGCTGAGTTCACTTAACAACTGCCTTTGTGAAGTTAAAAAATGGATGTCAAATAATTTCCTCCAGCTGAACTCAGACAAAACAGAAATCCTGGTCATCGGGTCCCAGCAGATGACAAATCAAATACTGCCATCTGCTGGTTCCCTAGTAAATCACATTAAGCCTGTGGCAAAGAACCTTGGTGTTTGGTTTGATAGTAATTTAAATTTCGAGCAGCACACCACAAAGCTTGTTCAATCATGTTTTTATCAACTTAGAAATATAGCAAAAATTCGATCCATGTTAACTTTTAAGGACACCGAGACCATTTTACACGCCTTCATCTCATCACGCCTGGATTATTGCAACAGCCTTTTCACCTGTTTAACCCAAAAATCTATTGATCGACTCCAGACTTTCCAGAACTCAGCTGCCAGGCTTTTAACCAGAACAAAGAAATATGACCACATTAGTCCTATTTTAGCTTCATTACACTGGCTCCCAGTATGTTTTAGAATTGACTTTAAAATTCTATTGATCACTTTTAAAGCTCTTCATGGCCTCTCGCCTTGTTATATTTCTGACCTTTTAGTCCCATACGCACCAGCACGTACCTTGAGATCCTCGGGCAGAGGTCTGTTGTCTGTTCCAGAGTCTCGACTGAAAACTAAAGGGGACAGAGCGTTTGCTGTCAGGGCCCCGAGGCTCTGGAACAGCCTGCCTGAGGAAATCAGGTCGGCTGAGTCAGTGAACTCTTTTAAGTCCCTTCTTAAAACATACTTTTATAGGAGAGCCTTTCCCGATCTTATTTGACTTTATTTTATCCCTTTTATTTTATTGTATTTTACTAATTTTATATTAATTTTTCATGCTCTTTTTGTATTATTCTTTACACTTGTTAAAGCACTTTATAACTTGTTTTTGAAAAGTGCTCTACAAATAAGGATTATTATTATTATTATTATTGTAGTAATCCAAAAGTAACTCAAAGTAATCAGATTAAATAACTTTTATTTTGTGGTACTCTGATTACGTTACTGATTACATTTCTAAAGTAACCCTCCCAACACTGCCAACAGGTCATTGGTGCCTGTTATGGAGGCAACCAACGACCCTGCTGGTGGAAACCAGTGGCTAAGAAAGCCTTCAAGCTGAAGGAGGAGTCCTTTCAGGCTGGTTGGTGGTTGGCCCCGGGGCCTCCTGAAGCAGCAGACATGTTTCATATATATATATATATCTTGGTGCGTTCAGCTCCTGATTTACTGAGGCAGCAGCTCATCAGACTCCGTCATGGCTGCCAGAGACAGTCTGCTGCCATTCTAGCTGCTGAGTGTGTGTCAACCTGGGTACATTACTGTCAGAGATGATGTCATAGATGATGTCACTGAGGAGCTTACCTGAGCAGGTGAGATCCAGGATGGAGGGAGAGGAATCTGATGATGCTACACACTCCCTCAGAGCAGATCCAGACAGAACACAGTCAGACCTGATCGACCACACAGGTCTGTCTGAGGACTCCTTTCTCTCTCCTACAGAAACAGCAGAGCCACAGTCCAGCTCTCTACAGACAACAGCTGCTATCTTCAGGGTCCAGACAGAGTAATAGTAACTCACTGGTCTCCATTCTCCCTGATGTTTCACCTCCAGTGTTCCTGCACAGCGACTGGCTCCTCCCACCAACCTGACATCATCAGGCTCTGAACAGAAACCAGAGAGTCATCAGTAAAACAATAAAGTGAGTTTCATCAGAACAGAAATGAACCAAATCAAAGCTGCAGCTCCTCTTCTACCTGAGCAGGTGAGTCCAACAGCTTTTCCAGGTGAGCAGGTGTTTCTAGCTGAGCCTGAGCTTCTACAGTCCAGGAGAGCAGACTCATGGCCTCCACACTGGAACTCTTTGGTCCACATCGGAGCCTCCACTTCTCCATAGAGCGCCCCCTGGAGGACTGAAGGAGCCCCACAGCCGAGCTCCCTACAGACCACCTCTGCATCCTGCTGGTCAAAGTCAGCTTCACACACTAAGGACCACCACTGGTTAGACTGGTTAGACTGGTTAGACTTCACCTCCAGTCTGCCTGAGCACAGACTAGTCCCGTCCAGCAGCCTGACAGAGTCTGGAGAGATAATAGAAGATGAAATAGAGATAAAGCACCAGACACAAAAGAAAAATATGTCATGAAACAACAATTCAGTGATTCAAACTGGACTCAGCACAACTCCAACATCAGTTCATCATTAACAACAGAACACATCTTTCTAACAGCACAGACTGCAGCAAGTTCACCAGCACATTTCCATAAAATATGGAGGCAACAAAAGACCCTGCTGGTTTAAACCAGTCGCTAAGAAAGCCGTCAAGCTGAAGGAGGAGTCCTTTCAGGCTGGGTGGTGTTTGGCCCCGGGGCCTCCTGAAGCAGCAGACATGGATGTTTCATATCAGAATCAGATTTATTCGCCAGGTATGTGTCCACATACGAGGAAGTTGACTTTGGATTGTACATTGCTCACAATGTGCTTACTCATACAATAATACTATAACACAATAATCAGACACAGGCTACAGTATAGAGAACACAAATATACACACTATAAACAGAAACCATATCGACACATTGAGACAATAGTGCAATGAGCAGAGTGCAAAGGATGCAGGAGTAAATTATTATTATCATTATGTACATGTCGGAGGTGGATGTGATATACAGCTACATACATGCATACATGTACACAGTGCAAAGGATGCTGGAATAACTAAATATTATGTGCAGGTGTTATTTACTTGAGGTAGGTGGATCTGGTATACAGTATCTACAATATGAAACAGTATGAACAGCTCTGAGATAGAATCAGAATCACAAGGAGCTTTATTTCCAATAAGTGTTTTACACATACCAGGAATTTGCTGTGTTAATAAGGTGCTACACGTAGACAAACATACAGTCAACATAAATAAATGTAGAAATATATAAATATGGAATGGAAGAACAACGTACATGAGCATTATTCTGGGTCTGTGCCGTGCAAAATTAACGCAACGGAAGAGAATATTGTGTACATATAAATATATAAACTGACAACATGAAAATATACAACAACAAAGATCAACAATCAACAACAAATATGTGCGACGTGCCAGCTCGCGACACGAGATGAAACCGTAAATAGAGACATATACAGGGGCGTAGGGGGCGCTGAAATGCTAGGGGGGTTTTGGGGCATGTCCCCCAGATGGGGCATGTCCCCCAGATTTTAAAGAGAAAATAAAGCACTTAAATGCTAATTTCTAATGACTTTTGAAAACAGAATGTGCTTATTAGTGTGGCTGAAAGAGGTTTGAGATGTGCAGTCAGAGAAGATAGACTGGGGAGGGGAGATTATGAAAACTCAGGTGTACAGTCAGAGACGGAGCTTTAGCGATATTGTTGTTCTACATTCATGCCAATAAAGCTGATTTGACTTGAATTGACAGAGAATAATATAACTACAACAAAACTGACTGGATACCATAAAAAGATGTAACAGCTGCTAATTAATGTAGCCACAGCTCAAATGTATTCAGTTATCTTAACGTTACACTTATGAGCTGTGATATTTCCTGTGTCTCACTTTCTGTGACTCTCCCTGCAACACGTTTGTGAACACAGAACTGTCTTCAGTGCAAACTCTGATGACGTGCCGATGGTCCATACAACTTGCCTCTCCTTGCATTCTTTTGCTTAAACTCTCTTTTTTTCCCCCTGCTAGAAGTCAGCAGCTCTTGGATTTTTAAATCACTGGGACTGTCAGATAAAGTAGGCTCTTGCCGTACTTTAAAAACTTTTATGATCTTAGTGCTACACGAGTGCGGCCTATCAATAGCACTAGCCTGTACTGCAGTAACTGGAGTTATAGCTAATGCTAATTAGCAACAAGATGCCTCCCTTCTCCACGGACGACTTCTGCAAACTTCTACAGAAAATGACTGTGCTGGAAACCAAGATCCGCAGGTTAGAAGTGAATGTGGAAGTGAATGGATTATGTGGGAATGACACCGTGAACCCAAAACAGTGGACAAGAGCATGCTAACACGTGGCTAATTAGCGCCAACAAGACTACCAAGAAGCAGGAGGCCTGTGCACTGGGTAATAAATCTGAAAGTGGGAGTCCTCCCTGGAACGCTCTTGGTGCAAAGCCTAACAGTAAATCATTTCCTTGGGAAATGGGAGGACGAGTAACAGGCAGAACCCAGCGCCCTGAGATTTGTGATGCGACTGGCTGGCCAGCATTATCATCCAGACAGAGCGCCTCTTCAACCCCTGCTCTTAGTAGGACACAGCGTGGACAGCTGCGAAAGGGAGAATTAGCAACAAACCTCCCCAACAACCGAGTGTGCAACAGCAGAACAGATTTTGACCACTATTGCAGGACCCTGGATCTCCGTCTGATGACCTGGATAACATCCCGTCCTCACACAGAAAGGTAAGGACTGAGAGTAAAACAGAAAGGTAAGGACTGAGAGTAAATCAGAAAGTAAAAGGCTGCAGGGAAAGCTAACGACTTGGCCTCAAACTCTGATTGTGGGTGACTCTGCTGTAAACGATGTAAGAAGCATGTGCAGTAAGAACACCAAAATACTCCAAGGATACGGTGTCTGACTTGGCAGAAAGAATCCTGCATATCGTGGCTGAACATCCTACTGTGAAAAACATCATACTGCACATTGGGGCCAATGATGACTTTAATAATCTGTTGAACACAGTCAGCTCTTTGAATGCTGAGGTGTTTATCAGTGGCCCTATACCGCCAACCCGAAGAGGATGGCATTGAACACGTGGCTCTCAACGGCATGTACTGTCCATTTAGTGCATTTCATTGAAAACCTTTACTTTCTGTGGGGATTCAACATGTCTACCCCCCCAATCCCCATCTCCAGACACCCTTTCACCCCTCTCCCCCCTGTTGGACTTCACTGATCACATGGAAGACCTGGTTAGAGCTGGGACCAAATTTACTCCCCGCACCTTCCCTCACTCTTCTCCCATTTTCTCCACCCTAAACCCCCTCACCGTCCACCTACACCACTGGTTCTAAGTCCTCCAGGTTTGACACATGTGTCGCAAATATAGCGCACAACCCGCCTCCCTGCTCTGCAATGGCGAAAAAGTCCAGTAAGCTCTGTCTGATATGTGCTGGGTCCAGGCTACAAGGAAAATAGCACTCATGACTCTTCCCAGGACAAGCTGGGGCCCAATGTGCTGGTAGTCTTCTCCATCCCTGTCTTGATAGGTAACAGAAAAATCATGGTGAATGTGTTAAAAAACAGGAAGCACTCAACATATCCTGCAAATTTAGTATTAATTCCTCGTCAGCCGCAGCCTGTCGAATAAAGTGGCCACATAATGTTTTTAACACACTAAAATTAGCTTTGTTAAACGTTAGGTCTTTGGCAGGAAAAACGTTTTAATCAATGATTTTATAATCACTCACAATCTTAATTTCATGTTTTTAACTGAAACTTGGTTGGACCGAGATAACAATGCAGCTGTCCTTATCGAGTCTACCCCTCCCAACTTCAGTTTCATGAGTGAAGCTAGAGTGCATAAGAGAGGAGGTGGAGTTGCCATTTTGTTTAATGACTCCCTCCAATGCAAAAAGAATATGTGGCTCTTCAGCTGAATTCCTCTTCGAGCTATTTTTCTAAATATCTACAGGCCCCCTAAATACTGTGCCACCTTTTTCAATGACTTTGGTGAACTGCAATTGTTGGTGATTTTAACATCCATGTTGACAACCCCTAGGACAGAGGGACTAAAGAACTGTTTTGTGTTCTTGATAATTATGGACTGACTCAACAAATTGACGGAGTCCACGCACAATAAGGGGCACACTTCGGACTTGGTCATCTCCAAGGGTCTGAACATTTCCAAGGTTGTGGTGACTGATGTTGCTCTCTCTGATCATTCCTGTGTTTTTTTTGAGAGCGCTATCTGTGTACACACAAATGTTAAAACAGAGGTGATCACAAAACGGCATATCACTGAAAATACTAGTGAAAAATTTATTGAGGCTTTCTCCTCAACACCCGCACTCTCACGGGTCTCAGTCATTGACCTTGTAGATAATTTCAGTTCTAAAATTACAAATGTTATTGATGCCATTGCACTAGCCAAGGTGAAGGTGGTCTCTGGTAAGAGAAGATCTCCATGGAGAAATGCCACGCTGGTTAGAACTCAAAAAAGAGAGTGTGGAAAGGCTGAACGCAGGTGGCGGAAAACAAATCTCCAGGTTCATTATGACATCTATAAAGAGAGACTTCGCATTTGTAATTTGGAGCTGAGAAATGCAAGGCGGTCCTTCTTCTCTGACGTCATCACCAAAAACACTAATAATGAACGTGCCCTGTTTGCTACTGTCGACAGGCTAACCAACCCTCCTGTGTCTGTAGCCTCTGAACTTCTATCCACCAGGGTCTGCAATGAATTTGCTTCCTTCTTCACAGACAAAATTCAAACAATTAGACAAGCAATCAGTGCCTCCATGCCAGTCACAGGATATGTCTTGTCCCTGTGTCCACTTAAAAACAATTCATATAGCATGAGACAATTTGATTCTATAAACCATAAAAACCTGGAGGACATAATACAACATCTGAAATCCTCCTCATGCTGCCTTGATATTCTGCCAACAGGTTTTTTCAAAAATGTTTCTAAATGCATGGCCTCAGATCTACTACAAATTGTCAGCATGTTTCTCCTCTCAGGTTTTTTCCCACAGGCCTTGAATACTGCAGTCATTAAGCCACTCTTAAAAAAGAGCAATCCAGACAGTTCACTAATGAGCAATTATAGGCCCATATCAAATCTCCCATTTTTAAGTAAAATCATTGAAAAGGCTGTTTTTCAACAGCTTAATGCTTTCTTGGCACTAAATAACTGTTTTGATGTCTTTCAGTCAGGTTGAGACGGCTCTTGTTAAGGTCTTCACTGACATCCATTTAAACACTGAGAGTGGCAGAATTTCAGTCTACAACATATTACTAGACAGACTTGAAAATTGGGTTGGACTAAACAGTACTAAACTGGTTTGAATCCTACTTAAAGGACAGGGACTACTTTGTGTCTATAGGTAATCACAC